CGGACCCATTACAATGGCAGGAGCAAGTGGTGCAAACGGCTCTAGTGAGGCAAAAATATGTCACTCGGTGAGGAAAAGAAAATGTCACTTTCCTGAGGCAGATGCATTAGATTGGTGGACAACAAAATTTCTTGACCTGGCATTGTGAAGTGGCTCAGCTGTTAGCTGAGTCACCCAGGGGTACCCAAGGCAGGGTTTAAAACTAGCAAGGACAGTATCTAGGTGGGTATTCAGGAAGAAATACATCTACCTGTCGTTCATATGTGCAATACCTTATTCAGCAATTCCACAATTTAAATTGAGTGCACCAATAGCCAAAATACATACAAAACCTCAACACAAACTGACACTGGGGGATCTAACACATCAACCCGAGCAGAGAACTTCCGATGGTGAGAAGTGTTGCTTCTTCCACAAACGCTGCACACAAACCTCTGCCAAAAATGTGTGGTTCCTTGGCCCTCAATACAGGACCAGGAATGCCTCCCCCACTCTATTTCAAAATTTCCAGGTTATCAAGCCCTTGGGTGACCTTCATACTCGTGATCACATCCCCCACTTTAAGATCGGCAAGGAAGTCTGCGTTCTCCACAATGTAACCAAAGACAGCGTAACGGCCATCGAGAATGTTGGCGCTGCTGGGGGTCAGCTCGCTTTCTTTCAGCAGCCAGAAGATCTGGCTGGAGGCACTGTCGTTGTCAAACTCCTGTTGCTCAGTCAGAAAAAAAGCAGAGGACGGCCATTAGCATCCAACCAAAGCAGGCTTTCTCGGAGATAGAATGATATTGCAACCTGAGTACTAAGGTCAAAGGATTTATTTCACAATCATTGAGAACTGACATTGACATGTTGGCAGCGGTACAGAGGGAGGAAAAGGTGCGACTGCACAAGACTCGCGAATCGGACATACCTCTCGGGCCATGGCCATGGTGCCGAAGGCGTTGAATGGAATCTTGGGGAGAGCTCGGTACCTGCCCAGGTCCTGCAGCACATCAGACAGGCAGATGGGTTGGGATGGGTTAGAATGACAGGGACTGTAATACGCATGACTCATGGACGGAAAGTGCTATGGACAGACAGTGCTATGGACGGACAGTGCTACGAACGGATAGGCTGAAACAAGAGCTAGCAAAATGCATCGGCCGCAAGTCTTGGGGTGTGACACAACTGTATTGACTCAACATGTCGTACAACTTGGTCAGATATGAGAGTCAGAAGCGAGTGGTTTCATGGCCCATAGTGCTTGATGTGTTGCAGCTTCCCACATCTTGTTACACTGCAAGTCTCACTCACCTCCAAGGTGTCATGGTACACGGGCTCCTTGTCCCCCTCTACGAACACCTCCAGAGGAATCCTGCGCTCCTTGCCCGTGGCGGGATCCACAAAGCCCTCTGCAGGCCCCTCGGGGTCTCCAGTCTGCACCACAAAGCCATCAGCTGCGAGGAAAGCAGCACACGAAGGAGTAGGAATGGGTGGGGGGTTGGGGGAGGGGAGAGGGAAGTTAGGGTACTCATCATCCAATGCTGCAAGCTTGAATTCCCACGGGACGTTGGAGAGAGAAAGAGCAGAAGGTGGCACACGGTAGAACACCAGTACGCACCTCTTTGAATCTCCATGCCGTCATAGAAGCCCCTCTTCACCAGGTCCACGAAGTTACCGCTGGTAACCGGCGCGTTGTAACCGTCGACAACGACCTCAAAGACGACCTCGGGGAGGTTGGGGTTGTTGAGCGGGCGCACTGTCATCTCCACGTTCGCACGCCCCTTCAGCACAGGGTACCCCTTGAACTCCGCGGGAATCTGGTATGGGAATGCCCCCACCATCGCCTCTTCAATGCTGCAGGTGGAGGATGGAGTTGGGGTGGGAAAGAAACGCAATGCGAAAGCAAACGTTCTTAGGCGCTGTGAAGCGGCCTGTGAGAAAACCCGACCGTCGACTTCTCAATGGCAAGGGTGGAGCGAGCGAGAGAGGCATCAAGACGAAGGAGGAAGGGAGGCTTAAAGAGGAAGAGGAAATAAGACCGGGGAGGGAAGACGAGAGGAAATACACCATATTCAGAAGCTCCTCTTGCAACACTCATTCGCTCAGTAGTCTGTCCTCACACGGAGTTTTCTTCTCAGTCTGGTTGCTCCTTACGTCGCGCTCCACTGTATAACATTCCCGAGCACCATCCCCTGTCACCCTTTCCCCGATGGCCTAAGTTCTTTCAACCCGAAGTCTCTCCTCCCATCCGCGCATCCACCCGTCACTCACTCGCCGACTACGGCCAACAGTTTCTACTCCTTGAGCTAGATTGGATAGCCTCCCGCCCGCATTAATTTCCAAAACTGCTTGGCACGTCCTAAAACGCGCCAATCCATGGACTTCACCCTTCTAAGAATCACCCTTCCTTTCTGAGAATCATCTCCCTTCTTTCCTCCCGCACTCACTCGCCGACGATAGCCAGCAGCTCCTTCTGCTTGGGCTGGATGCTGTCCCGGTTGCGGCGCTCCACGATCTTCTGGAACTCCTGCAGCCCGTCCTGCAGCTTCTCGATCAGCTCGCGCCCCTCCGCCTTGTTCTTCTCCGCCACGTCCGCCAGAATCTTGTCCTTGCTCTGGTTCAGCACGCGGTTCGCCTGACGGATGTTCTGTGCACGGGCGAACAGACGAAGAAAGAAGGAACATGAGAGACGGATAGGGGCGTGGAGGGGGAGAGGGGGGGTGGTGGGGGGATGGGAGGGAGTAAAGTGGGGGCCAAAGGAAAAGGGGGGGAACGGAATGAGGATGGTTTCCTGAACATGGAGTGAAACGGGGAGAGGAAACGAAGCGCAGACATTTGTTGCACCACTTAGCTCGCATCCCGCTGATTTTTCGAAAAGCTGGGGACATTAGAGTGACTGGACGCATACCTTCGTGTAAGAACGAAAGAGGGAACTTGATTGGGCTTACGGACTTGATTTTTTATAACTCCCTGGTGCTTACCCTCTCGACTGGGTCGAATGCCTTCGAGCCAGGCAGCCTGAGGTCCTCGGTGATGGCCTCCAGCGGCTGCTGCACCTCCTTAATCGCCTGGTTGTTGATAGGCAGGGCGTACCGGAGCAGCGCGCGCGCATCCTTGATTGGCTGGCCCTTGATAAGCACGCCGACGTCAGGGATGGCCGGGTTGATAGCGGGAGAGCCGGTAGTGAGAGCAACGGCATCCATCGGACCAGCGGTGAGGGACACAGTCGTCGCTACTGCCGCCAGGCCGGTGGCCAGCTTCGAGAAAAGGTTGCTGGAAGGTGTTGGCTGGACAGGGAGACACAACGTGAAGCGTAATTTGATAACTGTGAGGCATCCCTGAAACGAGGAGTTGAACGGTGAATTTGTGACGACCGAATGCGGAAGAGGCGGAAAGGAGGAATTCATGATGTCAAGGGTCAGTGACAAAAGATCGTTAATACTCTGGCATGTCATGGGCAGTCCGACATTCCGACAAGTCATGAACATCCCAACACAAGTGTCAATTTCACAACAATTATGCATCGTCACATTAGAGCTACCTCATTGTCTTTCGAAGACGCTGACGCGGACACGGAGAGCCGTGTCTGGTTCAGCTTCTTGGAAACACCGGCTTGCTTCTTCACTCCCTTGCCTACAGCAGCTCCGACAAGAGCACTAGCTCCGCAAAGGGTCGCAGCTTGAGTCGCCATGGCTCACAAATGTTGTGATGGCAATAGAAAGCACAGGAGAAATCAAGCACCTAGTAGCACCAGCAAGTCCTGAAGCAAGAACTTTCTTGAATGCGCTTCTTGAAATGCCTTCCGTCTTGCTTATCTGATGCTCGCAGGCGAAACTCAGTTCTTTCCAGCTTGCTCTGCCGAGGTGAGAAATTGTTTGAAGCCAGAATGTCTCTTTTTTGGTCAATTTTCAGGGCCTGGCCAGGCCACACCATGAGAGATTTGCTCCAAACCCTTGTTTGGAGATTCGGTGTTGCGAACATGGCTACCATTTGCTCGCGTGGTTCTACAATTCACTGATAATTTCTTGAGTGGCCTTGCCAGGGAATTCCAGCGGTGTTTTTTTATCCCGCACATTACCCTACAAGGGTTTGTATCCCCGAATATTCTGTACTGGTTATTGCGCGATCTTCAATATTCAAAATTTATGTTCGTGACCCTATATGACCGCGCCTGATTGGACGCGCATGGCCAAGGCACCGCGCATATAATCGATAGATCATGCGCGGTCATTAAAGGTCCCGCGCATTTATGCCCGGGAATTGCAGTTTCTGATCACGGAAATATATGATCGGGCATTAATATATAATCGATAAATCATGCGCGGTCATTAAAGGTCCCGCGCATTTATGCCCGGGAATTGCAGTTTCTGATCACGGAAATATAAAAGATCGCGCAATAACCAATACAATAGTTTCGAGGTTAAACTTCCCTGAAGCGTAACGTTTAATATAAAACAAAGATGTTGAGAATCCCCTGGCAAGGCCACTCGAGCAATTATCAGTGAATTGTAGAGCCACGCGAGCAAATGGTGGTCACGTGTGCAACACCGAATCTCCAAACAAAGGTTTGGAGCAAATCTCTCCCACGCCATGCATGCTTCATTCTTCAGGCAGATTTTCTTGGGAAATTATCAAAAAGGGGCCCCGGAGTAGCAGTGAAGTGGCAAAATTGGGGCCTTGTGACTCGCGCCCCTACTACGTACCCCCGAAGCAACCAAAACACCTGGGCAGTTAGGCCGAGCCTGGCCTTCTCGCCAGGTCACCATCTACTGGCCTGGGGTTGATGGAATTCGCTAGTGACTCGTCATCGTGATCTACCCAGAAAAACAATCGTTTTAACCCAAAAAAAACAACATCGCAATGGCACAAAAAATAAACCCCGATTTGGATGACATATAATTGGGGAAGCATCAACCCTAAATACCGTGTGGCAAGATGTTTAGGGCTGAGGCCCCTTCGAAGGCATGACGCACGAGAGGAAAATTCGTCAATTTTCAGATGTCGAGTCAATTTTTTCGATGTCGTCATGGAGGAATTCGTCACCTTGTGTGGTCAGGTCTGACGGAGCGCGTGGATGAGGCTAGAAATTGGTTGGGCACAGGTCCGGCCAAGGCTCGACTCCTTGCGAGACACAAGGCCCCAATTCGGCGACTTTTCTAGAGCTCTGGGGCCCAAATATGATCATTTCCCGATTCTCTTGATGCCCTTTTCACCATTTTCAAGTTTCCCCCATGCCATCCTCAAATCGAGGAAACATACACTGAGGGGCTTGCTGACATGGACACGGATGCACCTCCGCCAACTGATCCCTCTTGATGCTGATGTCAACAGCCCCCCCCCCCGCCCCCCCCCCCCTTTCTCCTCCACCCCTGCTGCGGGTGCAGCAGTGGGGGGGAGGGGATCTGCAGCAGCAGTGGGGGGAGGGGATTTGCAGCATCAGCCCCCCCCCCCCCCCCCCCCCCCCGCCCTTTTCTCCTCTCTCTCTGCCTGCCGCACTCTGTGTTGGGAGGGGGGGGGAGCTTGGAGGTTCAGAGGGAGGCAGGAGGGGATCTGCAGCACCAGCCCCCCCCGCCCCCCCCCTTTTCTCCTCCACCCCTGCTGCGGGTGCAGCAGTGGGGGGGAGGGGATCTGCAGCAGCAGTGGGGGGAGGGGATTTGCAGCATCAGCCCCCCCCCCCCCCCCCCCCCGCCCTTTTCTCCTCTCTCTCTGCCTGCCGCACTCTGTGTTGGGAGGGGGGGGGAGCTTGGAGGTTCAGAGGGAGGCAGGAGGGGATCTGCAGCACCAGCCCCCCCCGCCCCCCCCCTTTTCTCCTCCACCCCTGCTGCGGGTGCAGCAGTGGGGGGGAGGGGATCTGCAGCAGCAGTGGGGGGAGGGGATTTGCAGCATCAGCCCCCCCCCCCCCCCCCCCGCCCTTTTCTCCTCTCTCTCTGCCTGCCGCACTCTGTGTTGGGAGGGGGGGGGAGCTTGGAGGTTCAGAGGGAGGCAGGAGGGGATCTGCAGCACCAGCCCCCCCCGCCCCCCCCCTTTTCTCCTCCACCCCTGCTGCGGGTGCAGCAGTGGGGGGGAGGGGATCTGCAGCAGCAGTGGGGGGAGGGGATTTGCAGCATCAGCCCCCCCCCCCCCCCCCCGCCCTTTTCTCCTCTCTCTCTGCCTGCCGCACTCTGTGTTGGGAGGGGGGGGGAGCTTGGAGGTTCAGAGGGAGGCAGGAGGGGATCTGCAGCACCAACCCCCCCCCGCCCCCCCCCCCCTCTTTCTCCTCCACCCCTGCTGCGGGTGCAGCAGTGGGGGGAGGGGAGTTGCAGCATCAGCCCCCCCCCCCCCCCCCCCCCCCCCTCCCCCCCCCCCCACTTCTCCTCCATCCCCCTGCTGCGGGTGCAGCGGTGGGGGGGAGGGGATCTGCAGCCCTGTGCTGCCCTGCAGCCCTGCACGCCCTGCGCGCCCTGCTGTCCTGCTGCCCTGCGCGCCATGCGCGCCCTGCAGCCCTGCGCGCCCCGCGCGCCCTGCTGCCCTGCAGCCCTGTGCGCCCTGCTGCCCTGCAGCCCTGTGCGCCCTGCTGCCCTGCTGCTGCCGCTACAGCCCTTGCTGTTGCCGCTACAGCCCTTGCTGCTGCCCTGCAGCCCTGTGCGCCCTGCTGCCCTGCTGCTGCCGCTACAGCCCTTGCTGTTGCCGCTACAGCCCTTGCTGCTGCCCTGCGCGCCCCGCGCGCCCTGCAGCCCTGCTGCGCCCCGCGCGCCCTGCTGCCCTGCTGCCCTGTGCGCCCCGCGCGCCCTGCAGCCCTGCACGCCCTGCTGTCCTGCTGCCCTGCGCGCACTGCAGCCCTGCGCGCCCCGCGCGCCCTGCTGCCCTGCAGCCCTGTGCGCCCTGCTTCCCTGCAGCCCTGTGCGCCCTGCTGCCCTGCTGCTGCCGCTACAGCCCTTGCTGTTGCCGCTACAGCCCTTGCTGCTACCCTGCGCGCCCTGCGCGCACTGCAGCCCTGCGCGCCCCGCGCGCCCTGCTGCCCTGCAGCCCTGTGCGCCCTGCTGCCCTGCAGCCCTGTGCGCCCTGCTGCCCTGTTTGCCCCGCGCGCCCTGCTGCCCTGCAGCCCTGTGCGCCCTGCTGCCCTGCTGCCCTGTGCGCCCCGCGCGCCCTGCAGCCCTGTGCGCCCCGCGCGCCCTGCTGCCCTGCTGCCCTGTGCGCCCTGCTGCCCTGTGCGCCCCGTGCGCCCTACTGCCCTCTGCACGCGCCATGCACACCCCCCCCCCCCCCCCGGCCCCCCCCCCCCCCCCCCCCCTTCTCCTCCATCCCCTGCTGCAGGTGCAGCAGTGGGGTGGGGGTATGGGGGTGGCGGGTGTGGGTGCAACTGCGGGGTGGTGGGTATGGGGGTGGCGGGTGTGTGAACCGTCCCCTCCTCCTCCTTCACCTTCGTCTCCCACTGCTGCAGCTGCCGCTGAGGGGGGTGGGTGTGTGGGAGCCGAGGGAGTGGTTCTAGGGGGGTGACATAGGAGTGGAGCTAGGGGTGCAGCAAGGGGTGTGTGAAAGGGGGGTGGGACAGTTGGGGGAGGTTGAGCGGAGGCTGCCGTCTTGTCGTCCGCAGCACCTGTAGTCCGGGGCTCTGCTTCTGGTAGCTCAGAGAGCCTGCTGCGCCTGTCGCTTGTGGGTCCGTTGCTCCTGCCGCTCAGAGTTAGCCGCAGAGCCAGTTACTCCTGTAGTCCGGGGATACGGCCCGGGTAGCCACAGTGCGCGCCGCTCCTGTTGCCCGTGTGTCTGCAGCATCAGCCGTCGCCTCCTATCTCCTCTCCTCTCACAGTCCAGCCTCCTCCTCCTCACTTGCCCTTTGTGAATGCCTCTAGATTTCCTTGTACTTGTGAACCTGTTCTATGACTGCTTGCTCTGCTGATTATACCCCACTTTGACTATGGGGGTGTGTCTGAATGTATTTGCTGTTTAGCCTGCAATGGGGTACTCTGTAGTGAGTACAACCCAATTTAGGGTTTGCTATTTGTATCCCAACTTCCTATAGTGAAACCATCCCTTTCTCGATTCTCCCTTGCACAATCCTCTCGACACTCTAACCTAGCTATGGCTCCTAAGCCTAAGTCACGCTAGGATTCTCACATTTTCGTCAGCCGATCGACGACGACCAGGATCGTGTCATTCCCACTCGCTCTAGCCGGTAACCCCATGACGAAGTCCTGCAGGCTGCTCTGCTGCCAAGCATGCTCTGGGGGTGGTATCGCCTGCAACTGCCCTACCGGCCGCTGCCGTGATGATTTCATAAGTTGGCAGGTGGGACACAATGCCACGTGCCGTTGTACGTCGGTCAGCATCTCTGGCCAGTAGTAATACCACTGCAGCTGCTGCCATGTTTCTCTACTCCGAAATGTCCTGATATAACCCCATCGTGTGCCTCCTGTAGTAACAGCTTCCTTAGAAAAGTGTAGCCCGGTACCCAAATGCGGTCGGTGCCGGCTTTTACGTAATAAACCCCCTTTGCTGCTGCGAACTGCTGCGAATTTTCACCTGTGAAGAACGGGTCTGTTTGGTAGCAATGGATAAATAGTCCTGTCAGTAGCGGGCTGGTTTGGGCGAGTAGTATGGCATATATATGGGCTGTTGGGTGGGTCAATGTGTCGGCGATGTTCGATGCCCCCTTATTGTAGGTGACAGTGTAATGGAAATTCGACTCAAGGAAATCGAGCCAGCGAACCTATCGTGGGTTGAGGTGGGGCTGTGCGCGGAGGTACTGTAGTGATTTATGGTATGTCCATACTGTCACGTCTGCGCCGGTCAAGTAACAGCGCCAGACTTTGAACGCATGCACGATCGCGATTATTTTGCGGTCGTGTATCGGGTAATTCTTCTCGGGCGGGTGCAGTTTTCGTGACTCGTATGCGATGGGTTGTAAACCGTTTCCGAAATCCTGTAGCAGTACGGCTCCGATGGCGATGTCGCTTGCGTCTGTAACCACTTCGAATGGGCGGTGTGGGTCGGCGATGCGCAGTACGGGCGGTGAACAAAGAACATGTTTCAGGGCAAAGAAGGCAGCATGCTCTTTCTCCCCCCACATAAAAGCGACCCCCTTCCGCAACAGATCCGTCAGTGGGGCTGTTAACCGCGCCATGTCGAGGACGAACCGGCGCACATAATTAACGAACCCTAAAAAACTTTGCAGCTCTGTGACATTTGTCGGGGTGTGCCAGGCTTTCACCGTGTCCAGCTTCTTTGCGTCGATCTCAACTCCAGCCTCCGAAATAACGTGTCCTAAAAAATCTAGCCGGCCCTGAAAAAACTCGCACTTGGAACCCTTGGTCAGTAGCCGGTGCTCGTCTTAAACCTTAAACACTGCTTCCAGATCTGCTAAGTGCTGTTGCTTATCGCGACTGTAGACGAGGATGTCGTCGAGGTAAATTATGACACACTTATCTAAAAGTGGCCTAAACGCCTCGTTCATGGTCATCTGAAACGTCGCCGCTGCATTGGTCAGCCCGAATGGCATTACTGTGTAGTAGAATGACCCGTATCTAGTCTGAAATGCCGTCTTGACGCAGTCCGATGGTTTGACCCTAATCTGATGGTAACCTCCCCGTATGTCAATTTTCGAAAGAAAAAAAAAAAAAGAGAACAAAAACCGCGCTGTTCGCAATTGATCTATTAGTTCCTCGACGCGGGGTATGGGGTATCGCGACTTGATTGTTACCCTGTTCAGTGCTCGGTAATCGATACACATGCAAAACCCTCCGTCTTTTTTCGGTGTGAACAGTATCGGTGCGGCGAACGGTGAACTGTAGACTGGGCGCCAGAGGCTCCACTGGGTACCTGCAGGAAACGACCCAGTGAAGCCAGGTGGGCGAGGCAGCCAGATCTCCTCGTGAAGGCTGCCCTGCTAGAAAGTTGTGCTGGAGTCCAGAGAGTGAAACTCGTACTCACGCTGAGCGGCAACGTGCAGCAGCACCCGAAGAGTGGTCATCTTCGGGGTAGGGGAGACGGTCTGGAAGAAGTCAACTCCCTGTCGCTGACTAAAGCCTCGTGCAACGTAACGAGCCTTGAAGACAGGCGGAGAACCCTGCGGCCGCTTCACCCTGAAAATCCACATGCCATCGACTATGTTCGCCCCAGGAGGGGGAACTGCGTTGACGTAAGTGCTTGTGGACTTCCAGGATGCCATCTCTGCGTCCATGGTTGTCTGCCATTGAGAGGAGTAGGGACCCGTAATCGCCTCTACGTAAGAGCGCGGGGTCGGGATGTCTGGTGCATCCGGGTCTCCCTCAGGTGCAAGCAGCATGGCCACGAGATGAGGTAAAGCAGCTGCAAGACACTCAAAGTCCTCTTGCCTCTCCTCAAGGACGTCCGTGCCAAGAGCACACTCACCCCTGACGGATGGAGGACAGACAGACTCAGACTCAGCAACAAGACTAGCGGCGTAGTCGAGACGACACGCAGTAGCAAAGTCAACAAGCTTAGCAACTAGGGCAGACACAGCAGTGGACTCAAACGAAGGGTCGGTGACAACAGAGGCTAGGAGACGTGTGACAGTAGGGCCGGCAGCACGAACCAAGTCAGACTCAGGGTCCGGAACGTCGGGAAGAGAGGACGCCGGAGGAGACGGCAGGGGAACTCGCAGTGGAACCGAGGAAGGACGAAGTGCCATACCGTGAGTGCTGGGGACAGGAGGAGGATGCGGACGAGGAACACGACGACAAGTGTGAACAGCACAAACAGGCGAGGCAGTGTTAAAGACTAAGGACGGAGTCTATGAAGATTAAGGGCCGAAATATCTCAAAATCGTCAACTTCAATTCTGGACAGAAAAAGTCGTCGTCACAAGAAACGTCGTCGACAAAAAACGCTCTGTCATAATTCTCTCAAACTCGAGTATGTTGTAGCCCTTGACCGTGGCTATCTTTCCCAATTTGAATAGTATCAAAATATGGAGCATAACTCGAGTTATGAATTTCGGCGCACTAGGGGGTATGCTGCCATAGAAAACGTAACTCAATCACAATTATCTCACAAGTTCACACAAGAAAGTTGGAGTAGCAATAGAACCAGGTAGGAGGGAATGAGGAGGACGAGAGGGAAGGTCCAAGGGAGTCCCCAACCAAGGAAACCCCATTCCACACAATTCCCCTCTCTATAGGCACCCCAACTTTGACATTTGTCACTTTCCCAACTCATGCCATCCACCTCACCCAACTTGGCCACACTTGCCAACCTGGTTTGGCTTCTCCCAACCACGTGGCATCATCTACAGTGATGGTGACGAATTTCCCAACCCCCAAAAGTCTGTACCCCATATTGAGTCAACCCGCAAATTCCTATAATCGCCGCATCTCAATCAAAACTTCGAACGATCATATCTTTCTCGTTCTTGCTTCGATCGCAGCGATTCTTGGTTCGTCGGGAAGCTCTTGAGCAGAGGAGTCACTTCAGATATCTGCTCAAGCCAAATAACATTCACACACACTCAGAAAATCAAAACAACACCAAACGCAAATTCTTGAACACGCTCACACCACGCATGCAACACACGAACATATGATGGGAGGCAGACAGACGTGAATGCAAATGATAGCATCACATAACAGGCAGGACGAGACTCAGGCACACGTCGCTCTATAAGAGATTCTGTTCGCTCAGTGTAAGGAAAAGGCAGGGGAACTCGCAGTGGAACAGAGGAAGAACGAAATGCCATACCGTGAGTGCAGGGGACAGGAGGAGGACAGGGACAGGAGGAGGACGGGGACAGGAGGAGGACGGGGACGAGGAACACAACGACCAGTGCGAACAGCGCAAACAGGCGAGGCAGGACGAGACTCAGGCGCACGACGCTCTGTAAGAGAGTCTGTCTGCTCAGTGTAAGGAGAAGGAGCAGGCAGTGGGGAGTCTGGCTGTAATTTTGGCTGCGACTGGTCAGGCGGTGGACACAGTAGAGCTGGAGTAAGGCCAGTATAAGACAGGAGACTAAGAACCTAGCGAAGCAGTGGAACGAAAAACGGTTGCGGCCGCACAGTACCTCCAGCACCAGTACCGACAGCTCCAGCACCCCCAGGGCAAGCACCTCCAGCTCCAGGGTTCTCTAGCTACAGGGTCTCCAGCTCCAGCGCCTGCAGCAGCACCAGCTCCAGCAGCTCTAGTACCTCCAGTACGAGCACCTCCGGGACCAGTGGCTCCAGCACCTCCAGCACCTCCAGGACCTCGAGTACCAGTAGCACCATCAGCACCGGCAGCTCCAGTACCTCCAGACCGAGCTCCTCCAGGACCAGCAGCTCCAGCACCTCCGGTACCTCCAGCTCCAGCGCCTCTAGCTCCATGGTCTCTAGCTCCAGCGCCTGCAGCACCACCAGCTCCAGCAGCTCCAGTACCTCCAGTACCTCCAGTACGAGCAGCTCCTGTGCCTC